CTCTTGATTTAATTTCTTCACTTCTACATTCAGAGCAATTTTGTACTTAGGTGGTGGTCTAGTTGTCAAATCGTGAGTTCGTAATCCATCACTGCTAATCAGTTTTCCCCGCGGTAGTCTGAAAAGTTTTAGTTTTGACACTCCTGAAAATTGATTATCCATTTGCATTAAAGAAAATGGAATTAAAATCAACACAGATTACTTATGTTAGCATTCACTGCACTTCATTAACAAAACTAAAATACTAAACTATGCACCTAATCTATGCTAACAATACACCAATAAAGCACTTGCTAACATTAATAATAGAACAGCCAAACATCATTGATATGATTAATGGATGATTTAAGTCATTGACATGTTTAATTGAATCATACGCCTGGAGTGAAGGATATGAGATCACTAAGTTGATCAGTACTATTCAATCACTTCAGTTGGTTTGATTGCCAACTGCAAACTGATTTGATGACCGAAACACACTTTCACTGATAGCAATGAGTAGGGAACTAATATGAATCAGATACAATCCACATAAGACTACCGTGAGTTCAGTTAGTTCTTAACAGTACGGCCATGTTTTCAGTTTTTAGCTATATCAGAGGTGTTGAGCTTTATAGCTGTCAGTCATTTCCGATTGATTGAGTGATTCATTCATTCGAACTATCACTGTATTGACCATGGAGTTGAACTCAGCAGTGATCAAGGGGATAGTCCCAGTATTAAGCCTCATGGGAACTGAAATCACTTGAAATAGTTTTCCCACTGTCCAACCATCATCACCCCGTTCACAGAGTTCGGAACAATCTGTCTAGCTGACATTTTACATATTTTTTTCCATCCAGCATTTGGACAAAATGGGACTCAATAGTGTGCTCCTGTCTTCCGGACAGAGCCTCTACCCTTCTAACCCCATTGGATTTATTACCCCTTGTGTATGACCCTGGAGATGGGGTAGAGGCGTTAATGTGGGAGTGGACACGGTGAATTATTATGCGAAGATTTTGCGCTCGTATTAGGACACCGTTTCACCGTAGATTTGTGAAAAAGCCGGTTGATTTTTCAAAACCGAAATCGATGACAAATTCTCACCTTCCTGTCAATAAGTTCAGAATGTGGACATTTTTGAATATTCGCAACAAGTTTATGGTTTTTCAACCAGATTATTTTATTTCCCATATAAAGGGTATTAGGGGTGTGCTTGTTTGTGCAATCACATTGAGAATTTGATTGAAAATATTCAACATCTGGGACCTCCTTACTCTTCATAGGATTTTTTTAGTTATTTTAGGCAATCACAGGATAACATTACCACTTCTCCTTGAACTCAATAACTTGATCTCGTGTTATCTCGAATTCGAATTAGTTGCAGAGAATGTCATTTCTTATTCTGTATTTTGATATACTTTTACATCCTTCCTATTCAATGAATATGCAGTTGTATCGTCATTTTCAGAAAAGGGCCGCAGATAAGCAAGATCAACTTGGAGCTACAGAGAAACGGGACGGATGAATGAGGATGGCGGGACTCGAATACACAACCATCAAACCACTGCAGTAATGGCCTTGATCGCTTGACCACCGGGTCCAGTTTTGCTAATAATTTCACTTGAATGCTACACTCACGTTTACAAACTATCTCTCGTGCTTCCGAGCATGATTGACTGTTGTGAGCTTTGGAAACCCATTAGCTGACCGTAAGCATACTTCACACACACACACACACACACACAGGTTTGCTTTTTGGTCCTTTAATGCATGTTGCAGCACACTGTTCTAATCCTTATAACGCACCTGATCGAAAACACAACGACAAAAGATGTCTTGCCCTGAAATTGGCTCTACTGAACCGAATTGAGAACGTTGTAAAGATTGCATGAAAGTATGACGTCATCAAGAAACAGACCCACAGCGTTACCCGTTAGAAACGCGAAACCATGAAGAAAGAGGGCAACACCCTATGAATAGTCGAATACGCTCACTCGACAGAGATGTAACCTGCATGTTTGAGTGATGAGGCGTTGATCGTTTTTGGTCGAACCTATTAAGTGGGATGGCCATTTTATGATATCATGTTAATTGTACGGGTAATAACCAGATCCGCGCAGACTAAACTCTACTCATCACAGAGTTGCGCTCCCCCTTATGGATGCAGTTAACAAACGTGGCTTTTGGCCCAGTGTAATTGGTGCCAAATTGGACACCGATACACAAAATCCCACTTACCTCATCTTGTACTTGAGGGTTTATCAAAACAGTTTGGTGCGCAGCTGGTAGAAGTGTTAATCCAAGTTCCATTGGATTTGTCTCAGTTCTGATTGTTCTGCAGTTCTNTCCATAAAATTTTTATAACTAATTGTCAGTTGGATTTTCATGCGCCTCCGAAGTTGGAATGTTTTTGTGTGTTTCACTGCACCCCGAGCGAACTTTGTAAATCGCATGCGAGAGCATTTAAGGGAGAAAGATTGACTGACCCTGTGGATTTGGAAATCTTCGATTGTACAGGTTACTCATCCCTCAGCATTAATTTATTAGACCCTTAGTGTTCAACTTTACCACCAGACTTTTGCACAATGTGGTTAAGCAGCTACCGCACACAATCATGCACTGAGAAATTCATTATTGTATATTATCCTGCTAGCTAATCACTGACCCCGATGCATCGATTCAAATGGAATAAGGTGTTCCCAAAATTGATCAGAGGTTGTGGAAACCAACCAGCCAATTGTGTATTAGGCGTTCTGTCAGACATTTAGAACACGGTAAATTCATGCGACATCAGAATGATTTCCCATGAGATATGAAGCACACAGGACAGCAGACATCGGTTTCATCAGATTTCATTTAATTTTTTTTAAATTTTCCTTCAAAAGGCTGACCTCAGTTCAAATTTCGGACGAATCGAGACAGAAATCAATCAATCTCGTTGTTACAGGTATCACACTCACAGTTAGCAAGTGAAAACAATACTTTTAAAGCCGTAATTGCACCATAAAAAGGGGAATCAACCATGCAAACATGTTCACTGATCCTGGTCCATGCAATGCCAGTGGGACCCAATAAGGTAAAAAAACAGCTGTTCAGTGTTTCACTTTACGATTAACTTGATCTGCACATGACGAAACTCACTATACAAGAAATTCTTCACGCTTTGAGTTATCGTTCTTCCGCTATGCAAAAATCAAAGACTGTGATAACTTCGTAGTAAGAGGTTCTACACCATGGAGAGATGCGAATCTCAATAAAAATCAGGGTGAAGGGTATCGGAAGATAGTCTGAACAAAGCAACAGTATGGGGTTGGGTTGTGGAAACAAAGCTCCGTTTCCTTAGATTAAAAAGAGCACTGTGATTGTAGTTAAAAGACGTTTGTAGTCAAACAAATATGTAGTTATTGCTAAAGGGCATAGAATCAAACAGACAAGAAAGACTGTTGCATTTCACAGTCCAAAGCCTACTAAAATTGACATTCATTACAGTTAAGAAAGTGGTTAAACTAAAAAATAACCGCAATGAGATTAAAAGAGTTAATTTCTGTCCGAACTGCCTATATATATACAGGTCTAATCAAAACTGAAGCAACGGGTCCCTGTGAAACATTTATCGGTTCGTATAGGCAACAGCATTTATACTGAAGTAAATTGCTTTTCCAAGTAATAATAACTAAGCCTTGGTCAGTCTTTATAGACATGACCTTTCTGATTCGTTTATACTCAGCAGATGGAATGGTTCAGAATGTAGCGGATACTCCCATTTCGTCAGTAGTGGTTGACCTAGACCATGACGAGTTAAGAGGTAACTAAAGAAAATGGAACAGTTTTTTAACAACAAATTAACATTGATAATAAGATGTAAAGTTTGTGTACACTAATAGTCGATTGGTCTGTCTTTGTTCTTTAGGACTTTTTCGAGTCTCTTCGGCATCGAATCCACCAACTTTGATATAGTCATTTTCTATTTTTTGCTCCATTACGTATCGCACTTTTGCCTCCAATGTCCAATGTATAGATAGCACATTGACCTCTTTCTTCAAAACATAAAACAGATTTGTAATCATATTGAGATCCGGGCTCTTAGGGGTAAGTTGCATAAACTGGACCTTAGAGCCACGTATCTTTTCTGAAGTCTAAANATCTTTTCTGAAGTCTAAAAGCAAATAATAAGTGAACCAGACTGCTTAAATAAATAAATTTACTAACCTCTTCTGAGACTTGATACGCAGAGTCATCCTGAAAAACGATAACTTTTCCAGACGACGTTTTTTCATGAAATTCTGGAAACATTTTCGTAATTACTGATGCAAATTTCTCACTATTCATGGTGCCTTTGACTGATGTCCACCGCCAAGGCTGACCATGTTTTATCCCTGTCTAGAAACAACGCAGATCGAAGTAGACAAAATGTAAATTATTTTCCATACCTAAAGCATTAATACAGGTGATAAATATAATGAAACTTCGTTTGATCATAAAGAAAATATTTTAGTGCATCACAATCGGCCAGTACTATATATATATATATATATATATATATATATCGAACGCAGTGTAAGGAAAAGACTATTCATATCACCGCGGTCTTCACCAATTTTAATTACACTGCAACAGGACGATGACAAAAATTATGATGTTCATATGTGACTTCAATAAGCCTAAATACAATGTGGAGGGCGTGTATTTGATATCATTTGACTCACCCTAAACGTCATGCGTGTCGCGTCTCGCGGGGGAACTTATCCTACCGTTGCACGAATTTGCTATGTCTCTGTCTATACCAATCGATATCCCAAATACTAACCAACATTACCGCTCATCATGAATAATTTGTTTTTCGCTGGTCTATAGATTTGTGATCTCACGAGTCGTGCTTCGCCACGGTGGATTTCAACTAAGTATCTGCGTCTTCTTGATGCACGAGAATCAATCCCGACTTTCAGGGACCATAGCAAAACACGGCTCATGACCGGAAGTGAACTCAACGCAAGCCTTCACAGAGACCGCCAAATCTAGTGAATTCGATATGTATCACATATGGAATGTGCTACTGAACGCGTGACATCATCCAACGTTGGGAGGGCTCGATTCAACAGGGCGCGCAGGGTCACAGCATGCGACAAGGGGTCTAAGCCAACTTCGAGCTGCGCCGTCCTGAAGCTCCACAAGGCCCGCTGGCGGTCGGTCGGGGCGTCAAATCCCGCGATCAGGGCGTCCTTCGCGGCGGCCCACTCCATCTCCTCCGGGCCTCTTCGCGCCGCATCCAACACCGCCCGCGCTCGGAGGGCCGTCAACTTACCCCGGTCCGACCGTATTCCCGTCCTTGAAGGCATCAGGCCACGGAACCTTCATCCTTATCCTGGCGACGGCACCAGTTGTTATACTTCTAAAAGACGCTGCTGGTTGAGGATATTCATTTATTGACAATAACGGTCAGAATATAGTTAAATTGTCATTCATATAACAAAATATCTCATTTAGAACAAGTTTGCAGAATTCCCGCAAACATACCGGATATGCAATGGAGTGGTTCACTATCAGATACACATTCTTGTGTTCACCGTACCAAACAGCAACCGTTTGCTCCAACAGGTCTTATTCATTTTTGGTCGTTGAAAGAACTTGCTGATCGCATTATTTTGCGCACTACTCACAAGTGAGTAGTGCGACCAGTCGGTTGATTGTTGACGATCTTTTGGCGTACGGCTTCGATCCCGGCGCCATCTATTGTTCACTTCGATACACGCCTCTGTCGTCACTTATCTCCTGAAACATGTTCATTGGGATCTTCTTCATCCGGATTCTATGGGAACTTCGCCATCTAGCGAGTAAGTTCACTGCTTCAGGGTCACCGGTACGGCCTCCGACATGGTGCTTGTACTCTGATTCCGGCACTTTCAGAAGTGCACTTGGTTTCTATTTCGCCGGCATTCTTAACCTGCCCATGGTTTTGTTTTGCGATCTGGCGAAATTTTGCTTATCCGTCATGTTACCAACAGAGAAAGTTCGATTTGCTTCACTGTCAACTTGCGGCTCATTTTCGTCAACTGTCTTCTCTGCGGTATTCGAGGCTTCTAATGACTCAGCTGACTGACGTTCTGCCGTATTAACTGCAGCACATGTGTCAGACAACGATGGCATCTTCTGATTCCCCATCTCCATATGGATCTGGACTGAACAACTATCAGCCGTTCCGGAGTGGGCCTTGTCTGGAGAAGTTCTTTTCTCCAAGATCTGACACACTGAGCAGCTTCTCTTCTCATCTGAGGAATCGACTGTTGTCCTCATCTATAAAAGGAACTGCGAACTGACCACGACAACCACAGGAAAGTAAGCCGAGTCTCAATAGCGCCATGCTCTGCAGATTAAGTATTTGAAGAGCAAACCCGTGAAGCTCATGCTTATTTTCGCACCGGTCGTTGGGTGCAGCGATCAAATATTCACACCCTCGAGTTGCTGGAACATCGTCATGCTTTCCAACGACCAGCGATCAAAGTGTACTCAGACATCCATGCGGTTTTCAATTCCATCGAGAAAACTGTGGAAATTTTTGTTCAGCAAACGCTGAAGTTTAACTTGACCCAGAGAAGGGCTTTTTTATCTATATTTAGCCCATGAAATCACCTTGCTCAAGGAAAAGTCACATGCAGTCTTACTTTCTCTAGACTGCTGGTGGGAAGAGATATCGAGATATGGTGTATATTTTGTTATATAATTGCAAAATGCTTGTACAAGCCTGATAGATGCCTTGACCTGCCCTAACCCTTCGTGATAATCAACTAGAAACAGGCGCAACTATTACCAACCCTTGTCGCTTGATCATAGCTGGAGGTGATTTGCGGAACGAGTTTATATCACGAAGAGCAAAGCTGCCGTAGGTTTTCCAACCTGCCTAACCCAAGGCACCGCAACAACATCCGAATTTCGCTTAAGGGAACCGTGTACATGGCTGAAGTTCTCAGTATTTCGATTTCGGACTTGGTCTCTTCGCATTACGGATGGTAATCGAGTTTCTGTATTGAACCACCAATGTCTCCGAAGCGCTGCTGGTGCCTGGTGAGAACATCGGGTGAGCAATGACGAGATTCATTGTCGTGTGTTGGATGCAGATAATTGTTCTCCAAAAGAAGCAAGCGCTCTACATTGCCTTCAATGGATCGGTCGTGTTTATGTAGGCAAGCCCATCATCCATCTTTCGGTACTCCCTTTGCACGTGCTGGCAAAAGCTGTGGTGGTCATATTATTACATGAATATACTATTTTTATCACTGGCTCTGGTTAACGAAGCATATCTTCGAGGTTAGGGTCCACGAATTGAGGATTGTCGTTGATTAAAGACAACAAGAGGTATGAATGAGAACAGAAGTCAGTAGCGTGAATGCTGTACTGTCCGTCCGTTGGGATTCGTTGACCTATGAAGGGCAAAAAATAGACAAATACAAATATCAGCATATTTACGATGGATAAAGAAATCATTGTTGCTCTATTTGATTCGTTTCTCTTTCTCATCTGTATCCATATATTCTCTCGTCATGCAATCCGACAGCGTTACATTATGCAACAGGGTCATTACCCATAACTGGCATCTTGCGTTGTCAGTTTAAGATGGGTTTTGATCAACATCACTTTGTCTCTACCCACTGGAACCGTTTGAACTGTGAATCGAAAATGCACGTTTTCTGTCTCGATTGCAATAGGTTGGAAACCTATGACCAAAGTAAGGCCGTAAAGCACGATTTTTGGCAGGAATAAAACTAATTGGTGTGATTTTTTGTTCACAGACAAACAACCTTTATCTTGTTCATATGTTATTCTCGAATCAGCACCTTTTCAGACGAACTTGACTTTTGATCATGTGTACCCAGACCGGAATCAGTTTTTCACTCCATGATATTATTTTCAAACGAGATTTTTGGACTAACTGTGTGGGTTACCATAACAATTGAATTTCCGTTCCTTTGACTTTTCTCAGTGTTATCGAAAGAACGTGCGGATCCCCTAGTCTCATACCATTTTACGGTATTCGAATTACACTGCAACCAGAAAATTTGGTCTAAAATCATGCGAGTCTCTTTACCGAATTAATCAAAAATTATCTGTCTACCAAAACACTGCGAAATAGCAGCGACTGAATAGTCTCGTACGTGTGTGAAGGAATGCACGAAACCGATCGACCGATGGAAGCACATGCATAGGAAACGATTCATGGAACAAGAGCACCTGAACCGAATTCTACATAACATGACTGTCTGTAAGACGTACGCAGAGTAACGTTACTGAATGGTGTCGAGAATATGCACTTGCTGACGCATGGTATAAGAATGAAGAAATCTTTGACGTTAATGGTGTTGGCGGTGCTGGTAGAGACGAGTTCAATACTAAGCATGAGATAACTCCTGCAATTATTTATTTGCCATAACTTACTCTCATCACTGAATTACTCAGAATTATCATATTCATCTTGTCCCTAAACGATACGCGGTCGTTTGTAAGTGTCCGATGGGTTTTAAATCTATTTGTATTTGTAGTTGTATAACTTGTACGGGCTTATATGCTTACAGTGAAGTGATAAATAGACCCTGGTTGTTACACGGAATAAAATATACAATTTCATATAAAAAAGCAAAGTGAAGAATATAGAAAAACTTCAGGCAAACAATTGTTTTCAATAACTCATAATCATGTCATTACAGTTTATAAGGGAAAAATCCTAGGGGTTGGGAGAACAATAAAAATTTGAGGAATCGTTCACTTCGTGTATGCGTGTCTGTATTTGTGTGTGTGTGTGTTGCATATCGCACTCTCAGATTTGTGCTTGCGGGGTTTGCAGTTGTGTTACGACGGTCGTGTGACCCAGTTCTGAGGGATCGATGTTGTTATGTGAAAATGTTTGTGTGCGGGCATGGGGGACGAGTGGGTTCGCAAACCCAGGGTAGGTGGAGACCTTGGATAAGACGTTTCTGGGCCCATTGTTCGAGGGTCAAACGTTTAATACAGATGGCCTCGGCTATGGCCAACGTACGCCGCCTAACGTATATGAACCGGTTCGGGGGGACCTGATAAATAATGCGGAATGCTTCACTTGGGTCAACACGATGGCCAGTGTCTACCAAGTGAGCGAGAATCGCACTTGTGATAAATCCGGAACCACCTCGACTAAGTCAGCGGGGATGATGTTCTTTCATGCGGAGAGATAACTGCCGACCGACGTAGAGTGCATCACAAACGCATCTGAGCGATTAGACAATCATTGAAGCGGTCAACATAGGTAATTAATCTTTATTCCGTATGGTTATCAGTAGCGAACTTTTGAATGTGGTTTTTACCCTCGGTTTTGTTTTAAGATCAGATGTTCACCATTTATCTCCAAACCGATGTCAATGCCTACCGAGGATTTCAGATGAAATTCAAAAAATATGCTTTTGTATATGATTTAAGGATGAATAATTCGAAGAACACTTCATTTTAACCACTATGAACGAGTTTATCGGGGAATAAATTTTTACACAACCCTTTCTAATACCCCATGTTCCCAGTCATCTAAACAATGAAAGGGTTATAAGTGACAGGCTGATGATATCGGCTTTTCTGTTCATCCACTTCTTGGTCTCCAAATTTCCCCTAAGACCAATTGAATAATGTGCTATCAGCAAACTTTTCACGTTCCCAAACCAGAATCAGTTCAAAATAGCAATGCAATCGTAATTTTGCCACCCTTCAAAAACCTCTCCGTAGAACTTGGTTTAGTAAGAGTCCTTTCACCTGTATCAGTCACCAAATGAAAACTAGGTTTAGCCCTTAAAAATAGAAACAACACGGGAGGTCAGTAAAAGTTTACTGGACACCATTGAGGAAATTAACTTGTCTTAGCTCAGTTCCTCAATAATCGTGAGCATGACGCCCAAGTTTTTCAGTGAGATCCGTTCCATCCACGGATCTCGTGTGATTTACCGGACCTATACTATACTGAAATACACCACTTGGACACTGGCAGCCATTTGTCACAGTGTTATTTTCGTACTCGAACTCCTGTTTTTACTTTACCAGTTTGACAAATACGTTGATCACTGCTACAAAACTTTCCCAACGAATACTCTATATCTTCGGTTTCAAATTGAAAGAACAGTTTCTTGACCATGAAGATTTGGATCACATAAACCACGAGTTTCCCGTGATTCGAGCCAGCAATTTATTCAAAGATACCTTGTATTTGGTTGCAGTTCACTGTGAACAGACCTCATGGTCTGAAAAGTGTTGCCAGTTTTTGCTAAACAAGTAAGTGATTTTCAATAATTGCGTAAAGATGGGGCACACAATAAGATGAATAGAAGCA